CCCTCTTGTGGTAGCCGGGCGCATGAGGCGATACTCGTTGGCTTTGCTGGGGACCGCGTGTTCGCTCTCTTGGAAGCCATGGTTAAACACCTAAATATGAAGTCAGAAATAATGTACATAGTGGAGATAACCTAGCACATTTCGAAACTAATGAGCAGTCTGTGAAACAAGTCGTAGATAGCATTAAAATATGGTCACACCACGTTTGAATACTGGCATAGTGCTTTTGTGTTATTTTTTACCATCACTGTTAAACCATTTTAAGATAATTATTTTGATTTGTTCGGTGCTTCCGCAGCAAAACTCCGATTGATGTTTGCAGAAGAAAATTAATTTCAGTCCTTCTGGCACTGTGTTTTTCTATTCCTGTGTGCTTTTTTTGCTACTGCATATTTTATTGCGCACTAAACATGTGTTTTCGAGTGTCCATCGATTGCTTTTTGTTGTTGTTGGCCACATGGGATATGTTGCGTTGGGCTGCGCACTAGTCGAGCCACCTCTAGGCAGCTTTTTTTACGTTCCTCCATATTTATGTACGTTGTTTTAATAAACATTGCATTTGATTCTTATTTAAGAAGTACAGTTTACCTCAGTTCAATTTGACCCTTCTCAAAATACGCCTGTACTTTTTGGGACCCCTTACAAGTTCATCTGAATAATAATAGTAATAATAATAATAATAATAATAATAATAATAATAATAATAATAATAATAATAATAATAATAATAATAATAATAATAATGACTGTACTGTACAAGTACGGGCGAAATTTCATAACTGCCCAGACCACGGCGAGGCATTCTTTCTCAGTTGTTGAATAATTGGCCTCAGCGCGTGTTAGCGTCCTGCTTGCGTAGGCGATCACTCGTTCCGTGTCTTCTTGCCACTGCACAAGCACAGCTCCGAGGCCTACATTGCTTGCGTCAGTGTGAAGCATTGTTGGCGCTTGTTCGTCGAAGTGAGCAAGCACTGGGGGTGTTTGAAGACGTTGGCGGAGGTCATTAAACGCTGCTTGCTGTTCGTGATTCCACTCAAAGGTGGCGTCGTCTCTAGTGAGGTGAGTTAACGGCGACGCAATCCGTGCAAAGTCGGCGATGAACCGGTGATAGTAGGCGCATAGGCCCAGAAAGCGCCTGACAGCTTTCTTATCGGACGGTACTGGGAACTGTGCCACAGCCGCAAGTTTTTCGGGATCAGGCCGAACGCCGGTACAGCTGACGACATGACCAAGAAACAGCAATTCTTCAAAACAAAAGTGGCATTTCTCTGGTTTCAATGTGAGGCCTGCGGAGCGTATGGCTCGTAAAACAACTTCTAGCCTCTTGAGATGCTCTTCAAAAGTTGGGGAAAACACTATGACGTCGTCTAGATAAACTAAACAGGTCTTCCATTTTAACCCTGAAATTACAGTGTCCATGAGCCTTTGAAAAGTAGCGGGCGCTGAGCACAGACCGAAGGGTAGAACTTTAAATTCATATAAACCATCCGGCGTCACAAAAGCGGTTTTTTCCCGATCTCTTGGGTCTACCTCGATCTGCCAATATCCACTTCTGAGGTCCATTGAAGAAAAGTAGCGACCGTTTGGAAGCCTATCGAGGGAGTCATCAATACGTGGAAGCGGATACACATCTTTCTTAGTCACTTGATTCAGGTTCCTGTAATCCACGCAAAAACGCAGGGTACCGTCCTTTTTCTTAACTAATACTACAGGCGATGCCCACGGGCTCTGTGATGGCTGAATCACATCATCTTCAAGCATTTTTGCGACTTGTTGCTGTATCACTTCCCGTTCCTTTGGAGCCACACGATAAGGATTCTGGTGTATAGGCCTTGCTGCGTCGTGGGTAATTATTCGATGCTTTGTTAGCGGCGTTCGACCGACCCGTGATGTCGATGAAAAGCAGTCCTGGAATTCAGCTAGCAGCTCAAGAAGTCTAGTTCGTTCGTCCCTTGACAACGTAGTACCAACGTCAAGATTAGGTAGTGATTCTTCTTGAGGTGCTTCGTCTAGGGCCGATAAACTGCCTTGGATTTCCGCAGTAGTGTCAAAGTAAGCGACGGCTGTACCCTTCGGGAGATGTCGGCGCTCAGTGCTGAAGTTAGTAAGCAGCAAGTTTGTGCGTCCAGCAGTGACAGTGACAAGACCTCGAGCAACTGAAATACCGTGGCTAAATATCAGTGAGCTTATTTGGTCAGCAATGCCGTCGCCGTCAAACGGCTCATCCCCTGCCCCCGAAACAAGCGTACACGATCGTGGCGGGACGACCACATCGTCATCCGTCAGACGCAAAGGCCCTGAACAAGACGTATGTCTCAGCTCTGAACAATCGACTAAAGTAGGGCTGTTGTTGCGAAATGTAATGACACTCTCAGGGATGTTGATCACGGCGCCATGTTCTCTCAAGAAATCCATTCCGATAATCAGGTCTTTACAGCATGAAGCGAGAACGACGAACGTCGCCACGAAAGTAGAGCCACCGATGTCGAGCCTTGCTGTGCACATTCCGACAGGCATCAGTAATTGGCCGCCTGCCGTCCTTAAGTGAGGTCCCGTCCACGCTGTCTTTACTTTCTTGAGGCATACGGCAAGGTCATCACTGATAATAGAGAAGTCAGCCCCGGTGTCGACTAAAGCTTTGACTTGCTGTCCATCCACAAGAACGGTAAGGCCTGGGGTCACGGTTTCGTCGGTATTACGTCTTGTCGGCTCTACAGCGTCCTGAGGTGGGAGTAATGGGGGCTTTTTTTCTTCGTCTTGACAGCCTGCAACCTTAACCCCTGAGGTCGCCGCCTTCAGTTTCCCCGGTGTGGGCTGGGTGACCTCGCTGCTCTGGTGTCGACAAAAGTGCGGCGCTGCAACGAAGGTGACTGGGCAGGAGGAGGAGAGCGTGGTCGATGTCGGAAGACCGGCTCGTAATCAGTTGTAGCCTCGTTATCATTGTTACGGCGGCGGTCGAATGGGTGTCGAGGTACCGGAGGTCCTTGAGAACCGACATCACCACGGCGGGATACGTACTCGTTGGCATGTCGAATGTCAAACCGTGGCCTGAGAGGGCGAGACGGATCGGCGCGGTGCCAGCAATAGCGGGCTATGTGGCCTACACCTCCACAGTTGAAACAGAGTGGACGCCTGTCGGCAGTGCGCCAGGTGTCTGTTCGGCGAAGCTGTGGTTGCCGTGATGACTCCTCACGCGACGAAGGCCATGGCAAGCCAGAAGACGACTGGTCGTATGGGGGCTGGATGGATGGGCACCACGATGTCTCCCCTTGTGGTGGTGACCAAGGAACAGTTGCAGGTGGCGGGTAGTATGAAGGCGGAGCGGGTGGGGAGCTTCGAAGGGCGGCGGCGTACGTCATGGGACGTTGTTCGGGGGCAGGATCAGCTGTCGAGAATGCTTGGCGGATTTCGTCACGGACGACTTGAGCGACGAATGCCATGGGTGTATCCACTACCGGAGTCCGCAGCCTTTGCAATTCTTCATGAACAATGTCTCTAATCATGTCACGTAAGGAGCTATGACTGTCAAACGTCACAGCGGTGGCCTCAGTTTGGGGGCTGCTGCACAAGCGGTCATATTGTCGGCAGCGTTGGTGAAGGGCCCGCTCGATAGCCGACGCTTCTTTAATGAAGTTCTCTACAGTGCTTGGCGGGTTGCGCAGATGTCCGGCGAACAGCTGCTCTTTCACGCCACGCATGAGGTAGCGCAACTTCCTATCTTCAGTCATCTGCGGGTCAGCCCTCCAAAATAAACGTGTCATGTCTTCGGCGAACATGGCAACCGTTTCATCGGGTTTTGGGACCCTTAGCTCTAGTAGTTGGTGGGCGCGGTCACGTCTGTCGACATTGGCAAAAGTTTCAACCATCTTCTGGTGAAAGTCGGTCCATGTGGACAGGTTGCCTTCTCTGTTCTCGTACCAAGTACGAGCGCTGTCATCGAGATAGAAGTAGGCCCGGCCGAGCTTTTCCTGTGCAGACCAGTGGTTGATCTTTGCAACTTGGTCATAGTGGTGTAACCAATCTTCTACATCGTCGTGTGCGCCACCACCAAAGCGTTTAGGCTCCAGCGATTGAAAAAACGTTACCTGGCATGGAGCGGGAGCACTGGTGCCGAGACGTACAGGCTGGGGGCTGGTGTTAGCCATTTCTAGATGTCTGTTAGAGGTTTTCTGCGAGGGGTTGCAGTCTGGAGGAATACCTCGTAGCCGACGACTGAATCGATGGACAGGGGTTGCAGTAGGCACGTCCGGGCTAGATGAACGGCTCCCACTAGGACTGTGAAGCATCGGGCAGCGTCACGGCCCAGCACCTCCACCAGTGTCGCAGTGCAACGCGAACAAAAGATGACAGCAGCTTACGGCAGCAAAAAGAGCGTATTCAGGATCAGCTGTACAGCAAGATGCCTGCTTCGTTGTCGTCCCGAAAAAGCACCTGACCCACTAGCTGGAATCTACGAAACATTCCTATCATCGTTCTTTTTCGTATAAACACGTGTCAATATAATAACAATACTAATAATAATAATAATAATAATAATAATAATGATGATGATGATGATGATGATGATGATGAATTGATAGCACAGCAGCCGCGTTTGTTTTGGTTGGGTATAAAAAATATCACGGTAGTACCGAAATGAAAACAGAGTCAAGCTGAGAGTCACTGTTGTCTCATCGCAAAATATGCATTTGAAGCTTGTATTTGAAATATATAAAATATTTCATTAAAAGACGTGAATTGATTGTGATATTTACTTAAAAGCAGCCCTAATATATATATATATATAAGGCCAGGATGAACCTGCCCGCATGTTCGTTTTTTTTTGTTACATCTATTCTAATTATCAGTGGAATAGTCAGACCTCTGAGCAAGTGTGCGGTGTCTATGCAGGTGTTTATTGTTTTCTTTTCTTTTTCGAAATTGTGACTCCCATGCTGTGCATATCTATAAAGAATTAACAGTGTGAATCTTACACTAAGGCTCTTCTCCCTCTCTTCCAGCTTGTGGTGAGAGCAAATTTCCTGATGATCCCGACTTTCGCATCGTAGGCGGCCGCGAAGCCAACAAAGATGAATGGCCCTGGCAGGTGAGTGGGCGTTATTGTTACTCAAGGATCCACTTGCGTCGTCTTTATTGTACAGGGAATGCTGGCATAGAGCTGGCACTGCTGGGGACAACGTAAAAGTTTAGCACAGTATAACTTCAGAATTCCGTGGCATTGCCTTAATCATTGAAGGTTTGCGTGCAGATGCACACAAACCTGCACCAAAGAGCGTGCACTTCTGACGTCATAAGCTGGGCGGCCGGGGAACACGCGGCCGTCGTAGGTGAGCGGAACTTTCGTCGCGGAGGCTGCCGCACTGTAGTCGTCAGGGTGGCGCCGCCTCTGCGGGCTTATGAAGTTCTATGCGACCACACAAAGAGCACAAGGATGGAATATTCAGCGCACTGGTTAGAATTAATCTGCAGTGTCACACGGGCGATCACAGGACACTAAGATATGAGAATAGCGTGGTTACGGCATCGTTAATACTATGACGACAGACAAACCATAAAGATAAAAAGTGATGTGCCCTAACTGACCTGCTGAAAATAAGCCATGAACCACCACAGTGGTTGAGTGATTATAAGGTGCTCGACAGCAGACCCAAAGGTTTCGGGCTCGAATGCCGGCCGCCGTGGCCGCATTTCGATGCAGGCGAAATGCTTATATGTGCGTAGGCTTAGGTGTACGACAGAAAACTACACATCGTCGAAAACTGCACATCCCTCCCCTACGGCATATTTTATAACGATATCTTGGTTTCGCGATGTACAACCACAGCAGTTAATATAAGGAGGAAGCTTCAATACAATGCAAGCTCTTTAAATTATGACTTGTAATCTTGCAACGCGGTTTTCGACAAGGTTTATCTACAACATCCTGATTCAATGAGTCCACAATGTTTCGATAGCTATCAAATCTTGTGCAAAGACGAGTATGACTTTCATGGACTTCGTGAAAGCTTTTGATAAAGTGTCTCACTGTAAGTTACTAAGGAAAATTGACATTACGTTCCAACATTCTACCATTACAAACTGGTTTAATTCTTATTTTATTTCTCGTGAGCAATATGTTAAAATTAAAGGCAATAAGTTGTCAGTTTCAGCTGTTAAGTCGGGAGTGCCTCAAGGTAGTGTTCTGGGCCCACTTCTGTCCCAGGTATTTATAAGTGATCACCTGAATGAAATGTACGTTTCTATCAGGCTCTTTGCAGATAATTGCATAATATACCATAAAATACACGCTGTGGATGATGAAGTAGAACTGCAAGAAAATTTACAGAAAATAAATAAATGGTGTGCAGAATGGCAAATGATGCTAAACTCAATAAAAACTGTCCTCATGACGGTCTCTGGAAAAAGACAGTGCCATAAATTTAGGTACTTTGTTAATAATCATCAACTTAGCTGAGTTGAACAACGTAAATACATTAGCTTTATATTTATCAGTGACTTTCGCTAGAATCAGCACATAAATTATGTGTGTGCAAAGGCCAACAAGTGACTCTGGTGTCTCAGGAGAAACGAAATGCTTAGTCGACAAAACACTTATTAGATCAATTAGTGATTACGCTAGAATTGTCTGGGATCTTTTTCATGTGAGAAACATCTCAAAAATTGTAAAAATTCAACGTTTAGCAGCCCGATTGATACTCAATAAATATAGGTGGGCGGATTCATCATCTCAACTATATGCACTCGCCGACTTACCCACAAATCAGGCTCGAACTAAATACGAAAGGCTTGAATATCTCTACCTGATTATCAATAACCATATCTGCATAACGTATGCTGACTATTTTTATAATCTTCGTAGGGAAATTTCTTGACATCGTCATTCAATGTTCATTCGTGCTCCTGCTGTTTTTACTGATTGTTAAAAATATAGCTTCTTTCCAAGAGCTATCAACGAATGGAATTCCTTGACTAAAAAAGCCGTTTCATGCTCATCCGTAAATTTATTCGTGAAACACATCGCTTATATTTTCATCTGTATCCCATATGAAAAAATGTCAACCATAAGAATGATGGATTCCACCATCCACCATTTTGGTGGATTGTGGTGCTGGAAATGTTGGTGGCACATGGTGTAAGGTGGCGTATGGTGGATGCTGAGTGCCGGCAATGCTGGAGAGCGAAACGGCGTCAAAACCACCGTGACGAGCTGCCACTAGAAAAATAAAACATAAATAAAGGTAAGTGTATAGAAAGCACCCGTAAAAAATCGCGACTACGAAGATTCGAACGTGCAACCTTAGAATTTCCAACTGAACACACTAACCAGTGTGCCATGCCAACATATGAGGAATTTATTGTTAACTAACTAGTCAACTTACAAACTCGCCGTACAAATTTGGTTTTGTTTGTCCTATACTTGAGATAAACGGGATCTGCACCTGCTACCTAAAGGCCCATTAGATTCAGCCTGCACTTCAAGAACTAATTCAAGGTGGTGCCGTCTGGGTGTTGTCTTCGTGCAGGCGAAGTTTCACCAAGTTCAGCAGCGATGCTACGTGGAAACGAATACGAAAGTGCAGATGTTGTGCGAGCCCTATGCCACTCGTCGGCTGTATCGAGGCTTATGGAGGCTGTCATTCGTAAAAGACGGCGCCGCTTACGGTGCTTGGCATGTGTCTACCGGAAAATGTTCCTGTCGCACTTGTCGCACGTCGCTAAAACAGACATTGATGCGATTGGCTGTGTCGTCTGCTGCAGCTGCAGCCATCTTGCGCTGCACTAACTTGGCACTACCTTACGAGCAGGTGCAGGGGTTTCGTGAACTAGCCTTGCACGACAGCTGCACTTTTTTGAAGCGAATACTGCGGTCCCGCCATGTCGAACTCCTTAAACCAATGCCGAAGTGCAACGCCTCTGTGACGCGGTTCATGAAGAGCAGGTGAAACGAATGGACCTTAAAAATTCACATTTGTTGAACACAAACAACTGCTTCCTGTAACGATTGTCACTGCGATATTGGCAACCATGCTATGTTTTATTTATTTTTTGCTAAAATTCACAACCGCAAGAAAAAATTCGAAATGGACTGAGGAGCAGGTACAGCTTACCAGCGGGCGCCGCCGCAGTGGTCTAGCGGCTAAGGTACGACTGATGAGCCGCAGGCTGATGAGCCGCAGGTCACGGGATTGATTCCCGGCGGAGGCGACTGCATTTCTGATGGAGGCGGAAATATTTTAGACTCGTGTGTTCAGATTTGGGTGCTCGTTAAAAAACCCCAGGTGGTCGAAATTTCCGGAGCCCTTGACTACGGCGTCTCTCAAAATCATATGATGGTTTTGGGACGTTAAACCCCACATATCCTCATCAGCTTACCGGTGGTTACTGGCAAGCTTGATACCTGTTTCTCACTCGTCCCAAAGGGCGACATCTGCTCTGGCTTTAAGATGCCTCTAGACTCATTCAACAGATACGCCCACACAATTCATTCCGTATTAGGGTGTTTTTCGCTCAACGTACAGCGCTGTCATGCCAGCGCAGTGTTTAAGCTCTATCATTAGCAGCAACTACATAACGGCTTAACCAAAACGAATGCAGTGTGCCGGAAACATTATTCTATCATATAAGTTCAGTAAGCATACGCATTGACAACTTTGTGTCCTCGCATAAGAGCCAAAGAAGTGCCGGCGAGTACTATCGCTGGCGGTCGGTGAGAGCAGGCGTACGTTTGGTGGATATGCTGGAGCCGCATCGCTTTGCTGTTTGTCGCTTCTTGCGCGGATTTTGTACACAATAAAAAAGGCTGCATTTAGCCTAAATGATGCTACGGCTGGGCTGTATTTTCATTCTTACTCGTCGATGCGTATTCTGAAACGCAGAAGCGCCGATAACCCATTACAATACAGGAAATCGAGCAAGCAATCGACAATTTGCCGTTATTGAAAACACCGGGGCCTGATGGCATCTCAGGCGGATTTTACAAAGCTTTCAAGAAAACGCTTGCTTTTATATTGCTGAATATGTTTCAAATGAGTTATGACATGGACACTCTCCTACAATCCTTTTGCAAAAGTCATACTGAGATAATACCGAAAACCACTGACAAGGAAAAACTTCGCTTCATCGAGGGCTACAGACCAATATTGCTGTCAAACGCGGACTACATAATTTTCGCAAAAGTATTAGCAAATAGGTTGCAATTTGCTATGTCGATCGTCATTGGGTCTCACCAGGCATGTGGGATGAGGGGTCGAGCCATACAAACCAATATACATGTCGCTCGAACAGTGCTTCGATACTGTCATGGTTTTCAAAAGCATCTTGCTATGCTACAGATACACCTTGCAAAAGCTTTTAATCGTGTTCAACATTCCTTCATTTTTTCTCTTCTCGAACAAGCTAATGTTGGAAAAGTTGTTCTTAAAGGCGGTAAACAATGCTATAATGAATGCTCAACTTGTCTGATAGTTAATGTTCAACTCTTCAAGCCTGTTTCTATTCACTCTTCTGTAAAACGGGGATGCCCGATGTCACCTTTTCTATTTCCACTTTATCTGGAACCACTGTGCTTAAGCGCAGTACAGTTGAGTTGCATTCGTGGCTTCAGTATATTAGGCAGTGAAGTTAAAGTATTGGCTTATGCAGATAATGTCGCATTCTTTTGCACAGATAAGCCAAATGTCGAAAATGTGGTATATACTATTGAAAAGTTTGGCGTAGTTTCAGAAGCTCGTTAAATGTCTCTAAAAGTTTAGGAATGCGGTTTGGCTTGTGGGGTAGCACACCAAACCACTTTGCAGGGATTAATTGGACAAGAACTCCTCCGACATACCTCGGTGTACCATTGCATGCAAAAGTAATTTCTCTGTTCCACCGATCTTAGGTTTTCTCTTTCCTTTTCAGCAAGTAGTTTCCTTCTCTTTTTCCATCTCCCTTGTCATTACCTGTAACAGCTCCCTATACTTCGAGTCTTTGCCCGGTAGTTTTCCTACTTCGCCCTCAACTCTTGCGGCTATATTTGTTATTTGTGTGTCATTTAATTACGAGCTTTCAAACTTTGGATCTATGCCCTTATTAACAGTTTTATATCCCATTTGTTATGTTATGCGTTAATGAATACTGCCCAAGCTGTTAATGCCTTCGCCGTCTATTCTCATTTCTCTAAGTTTGTCACAAATTCCCTCTGTCATAGGACAATATTCAATGCTTGATTTTCTGTGTCGGACTTTCCACGTGATCTGCCACTTAGACCCTGCGTTCGCTATATAAAGGCTATGTTGCTAGCAGAGAACTAGCAATAACCTGGCATTGGTGTCTGAATATGAAGGTCATGTATGTGAGCATTCAAGTCCCCTAGAAGAAATATTTCGGCCACATGAACTTATTCATTGATATCGATGCGTATGCAATCCGCTATCTCCACATTCTTTTCCATGGAGTTATTTTGCGTCCAGAAGTAACCTACATGTGCACCTAGCCATGTTTTCTTTTCCCCTACTGTGCCCAAAACTCAGACGTATTTTGCACACGTTTGCTTTCCTTTATCTACTGTGGCGATGATATGGATTAGCATTTCAACACCCCCACGTTTGCTTTGTGAAATGATCCCCTTGCATTCTTCCCAAGTATAATTTAGAATTTGTGGCGGCTCTTCTAAATCTCTAAAGTGTGTTTCTGTAACCGCCTAAAACACCTATCTATTGTTTTTAACTGCTCCTCAGTCTGTGATCATTTTGCTTTTTGTCTGCCACCCTGCATGTTAATGTAACTGACTGAAACACTCACCTTCTCTCTTCTTTTACCTTTTCTCTGGTTTTTCTCTCAGCCACCTCCCAAAGAGTCTTCCTCGTTGTTTTTCTCGTCAATAGCTATCCTGGACACCTAAAGGCCCACGTGAACCTGCAAGTCGCCAATCTACCTCACGACCTAGCCTCATATTGAATTCAATTGTGACTCGTTGAAAACGACCTCACCTATGCGCCTCCCAGTTAATTTCCACTACCTCAATGCCTTTCTCTCGACTCATCTGCTATATCACTTTGTTTGCGCCAACAACCACTCTTTGCAGGTTGCCATCACCCACCGGTACATCCGGCATCGTGCATACCGCTACCTGTACTTGAGGGGAAATGGCGTGCATGTCATCAACCCCTTTCGCTAAGGTGGTCACTAGTCCTGCCGATTCGTCATTTAAGACATCGTTTAAACCGCCCGCAATTATCACGAGGATACGTTCATTCGGTTTACTTGTGAGTTTTGCGCTCCCTTGCCTCATGCCCCGCCGTGGTGGTCTAGTGGCTAAGGTACTCGGCTGCTGACCCGCAGGGTGCGGGTTCGAATCACGGCTGCGGCGGCTGCATTTGCGATGGAGGCGGAAATGTTGTAGGCCCGTGTGCTCAGACTTGGGTGCACGTTAAAGAACCCCAGGTGGTCGAAATTTCCGGAGCCCTCCACTACGGCGTCTCTCATAATCATATGGTGGTTTTGGGACGTTAAACCCCACAAATCAATCAATTCTGCTGGAGTGTCCCGCACCTGGAAGTTACTTGCGCTTGTACCACCGGCTGCATTGTCCCTTCCCACTCTTACAACTACTTCACGGAAGCTGGATCTTGCGACAATTCAACCGATTGTACCACAGCGGTCAAGCCAGTGCCCCTACTAGCACGACCCAGCTATTTGCCAGCGCACCCTGCGAAGTGCCAGTTATTCTTAGTGTATACTAGTGTTCCAGCGTATACCAGTGCCCCTGGGGACGCTGTTTTTTTTTTTAATAGCTCGTGTTTGTCTTCTCTTTCAACTTTTGAGTGATAAGGCGGGTTTACTGTGCCACTTCCATCTCCCGGTTTTCTCATTACCATCCGATTTGCAAGTGCTGCCGAGATAATCGTGACAGAAGCTTTGTTTGAAAGCTCAGTATCGCCGTGAATATATTGTTACAATATACCCCATTTCAACCAAGATTTACCAACTATCTCGGAGGATCAAGCCCCTGCTTTATTCAAATGTGCATCTGTTCAAACAATTTCTTCAGCTTCTGCCATCCAGAAGTTATCATTCGAGTCTCTGTTTTCTTTCTGCTCTATTTTAGTGCTGCCCGCATTCATGAGAAAATGCTTTCTGGTGTCAAACAATCGCTTAACTTGTGCAGGTGTCGGTCCGTCTGACCCACCCACAGGCAGGCAAGATTGGCCACTGGTGTGGAGGCGTTCTACTGAACAGTCGATGGATACTTACAGCCGCTCACTGCATCGTTAAGTAAGTAAACTATAAGTTGGTGAGCACTTGAGAGGTCATTCAGAATGATAGCGCTCGGGCTATGCATCTCTATGTAGAGGTTTATTTTGCCTAGGGCACGAATTTGTGACAAATGCGTGCTTGTTATTAACATAGTTAAAGTGACCATCATTATAAATTTTTGAATGTGCAAAAACCTCTCACGGGTGCATGTGCGACATGTGGTCTTGGTGTTCTTTGTGGGTTTGTTTTCAGCGTTTGTTCTATTCTAATTCTAGACAGAAACAGATAAGAAAATGTTCTGTGACGCAACTTCAAACCGAGTCTACAAAAAAGTCACTGTTTCACAAAAAGGGCGAAGCAGTCAATGCAATACCAACAAATACGAATGTTTTACGAAGCAAGGGTAGCATTTTTAGCAGCAATATTTTCGTAGTAAACATGCGCTTCCTAGGTATCGAAGCTTCCTGCGACGCTGCCGCAGCAGATGACCACAACAAGGCTTGTGCGTAGTGACGGCGTTGATGAGCAGCACCTCCCGTGGGCAGCGCATGCTGGTCCTCAGGAATATACGTCGCGTGTCACCACTGGTGGCAGTTTGTTTTGTGTAGAGCGCATTTATATGTGTACGGCCGCTCCAAACGCACTTCTGGAACGGTTTCCTTTTTTTTTTTTGACAGCACAGCCCATGAAAGCTCCCGTGCCCTGCTGTGAGGGCACGAGCCGCGCACTGATTGTTGCCGCTATAGTGCGGCAACCATAAGCATTCCCCCCCCCCCTCCTCTTTTTCACTAAGGAAATAAGCGCGCGCGCAGATAACCCCGGCCTCGGCCCGGCTTTCTGCAGTTCGCTCCGCAGAAAGCGCATCCTTCCATCCTTACCCATATATATATATATATATATATATATATATATATTATATATATATATATATATATATATATATATATATATATATATATATATATATATATATATATATATATATATATATATATATATATATATATATTATGAAGTCTTGGTTTGGAAGACCTTTATTAGGCCCGAAGAACCGGCAGCCGACAGCTGAGATGAACGGACCAAGATGATGATGCTACGTGACAACGATGAGGATGCATGAGCAACACATGATAATGATGATAATGTACAGATGAAGAGGATTGGTATACTAAATGCCCACACTAATTCCCCCCACGTGAAAGCGGCCAGCCTGGCCGCGGCAAGTCAAGGGGACAAAGAACGTCGCATGAAGGGCTTCATACGGGAGACATGGACGACCTCAGTAGTTCGATAACGGCGATCAGCTGGGGCTACAAGTGGCGTCACGCGATAATTCACTGGTGAAGTTTCTTCAAGAACTGTGTACGGCCCGATAAACCGTGGCTGGAATTTGTCGCACAAACCAGGTGTGCGAATAGGCGTCAAAAAAAGCACTTCGTCTCCAGGTTGAAAGGATACAGCACGATGGGATTCATCATAAACCAGCTTTCTGTCTTGCTGTCGGGCTTCAGTGTTTATACGAGCACGTTGGCGGCTCTCTGAGAGCCGTAGAACGTATTCCTTTGAAGAGGATGGAGATGAATCCACATGGCAGGTAAAGAAAGAGACGTCCAGGAGAGAAGTAGGGGAGCGTCCATAGACTAGGTAAAATGGTGAGTAGCCGGTTGTCCGCTGAATAGCCGTATTGTAGGCGAAAGTGACGAATGGTAGGACTACATCCCAGTTCTTGTGGTCTGGTTGAATGTAGGCGGCGATCATGTCAGAAAGAGTGCGATGGAATCGCTCAGTGAGGCCGTTAGTTTGGGGATGATAACTAGAGGCAGTCTTGTGAGTTGTGCCAGAAGCGCGAAGAAGTTCGTTCACTAGTTGTGAAAGGAAGGCCCTTCCACGGTCACTGAGCAATACACGTGGAGCACCATGACGCAGTATAATGGCTCGGAGGATGAAATCGGCAATTTCAGAAGCTCAACCGGTAGTGACGGATGCCGTCTCGGCGTAGCGCGTCAAATGGTCAACGGCTGTTACTATCCATCGGTTTCCAGCAGCACTGACTGGAAGGGGGCCATAAAGATCGATGCCTACAACTTCGAATGGTGTGGCTGGGCACGGAAGAGGCTGTAGTGTACCGGCTGGAGCAGATGTGGGTAGTTTTCTAGATTGACAGGTAGTGCAGAACCCAACGTACCGAGCTACACTAGTGGTAATACCTGGCCAATAAAACCGACTTCGAAGGCGATCGTAGGTTTTGTGGTAACCAAGGTGACCTGCCGTCGGATGGTCATGAAGTGCTCTGAGGACTTCGGACCGAAGCGATCGGGGTAGAACGGGAACCCAGCGCTGACCGTCAGGATGGTAAATTTTGCGGTACACCACCGAGTTGTCCAGCTTAAACTGCGAGAGTTGGCGACGGAGCCTCGCATTAGGTAGACGGGAACTGCCAGTGAGGTAGCCTATAATACGTCGACAGTATGGGTCAGCCAGCTGTCGAGAAGAAAAATCGTGCGGGTCGTCCGAAGGCAGCTGGTCCATAGAGGCGAGAGAGGAAACCGCCGTAGACGTGGTCTCCGAGGGCGTGTTGTGCAAAGTGATTGCGGAAACGCTGAGGGGAGGCGCTGGTAGTGGGCAGCGAGAGAGAGCATCGGCGTCGCTATGCTTTCTGCCAACTTGTATACGATGTCAAAATCATACTCTTGTAGGCGTAGAATCCAGCGGCCGAGGCGTCCCGACAAGTTCTTGAGTGTCGAAAGCCAACATAAAGCATGGTGGTCGGTCACGATGGTGAAATGGCGGCCATGAAGATAGGGACGAAATTTCTGCACTGACCAAACGATGTTGAGGCACTCCTTCTCGGTGATCGTGTAGTTCCTCTCGGCTGCGGAGAGGACGCGGCTGGCGTACGCAATGACTCGCTCTCGCGAAGAGTTGTCGCGCTGGAGGAGCACGGCTCCTAAACCGTGGCCGCTAGCGTCTGTATGGAGGAAGGTCGGTGCACCATCGTGAAAGTGAGAAAGTACAGGATCGGTCGTGAGGGCACTCTTCAATTTGTCGAAAGCCGATTCACATTCCTGAGACCACTGCAAGGGCGTACCAGAAGCAAGTAGCTTATGTAGTGGTGCGGCTATGGAGGCAAAGTTTTGTATGAATCGCCGAAAGTAAGAGGCGAGACCAAGGAAACTTCGCAAATCTTTCGGCTTGTCAGGGCGAGGGAAGCGAAGCACCGCAGCAGTTTTTCAGGGTCTGCACGAATTCCGTCCTTGCTCACAACATGACCGAGGACCTTGATAGATCTGCTGGCTAAATGGCACTTCTTTGTGGTAATTTGAAGACCAGCGCCCGCAAGGCAAATCAGGACCTCGTCCAAGCGTTGCAGATGTTGCGGAAACGTCGATGAAAATACAACAATGTCATCGAGGTAACATAGGCAAGTCTTCCATTTCAGGCCACGCAGTACGGTGTCAATCAAGCGCTCAAAAGTTGCGGGCGCATTGCATAGACCAAACGGCATAACATTGAATTCATATAGGCCGTCCGGGGTTGCAAACGCAGTTTTTTCTTTGTCCTCTTCGTGCATGGGGATTTGCCAATAGCCGGAACGCAAGTCGAGGCTTGAAAAGAATTCAGCACCTTGTAAAGAATCGAGGGCGTCGTCGATACGTGGCATGGGGTATACGTCCTTCGTAGTGATCTTATTGAGTGCTCGGTAATCGACGCAAAATCGTACGGAACCGTCTTTTTTACGCACCAGAACCACTGGAGACGACCAAGGACTGGTTGAGGGTCGGATTATCTCCCGTTGCAGCATATCGTCTACGTTTTCCTCAATGATTTTTCGTTCGGCTAGGGAGACGCGGTACGGACGACGATGCACAATGGATGTTCTGTCGGTCTGAATACGATGTGCTGTAGCAGTTGTCTGACCCAGGCTGGATGAATGAACGTCAAAAGAGTTTGCATGCTTTTGCAACAAATCAAGCAGCTGCTGCTTCTGCGAGTCTGTGAAGTCCTTGTTGATGGCTGCTGTAAAGGCCGAGGAAGCAGCATGATCTCCAGGATGGCCTTTAGAGGAGGCAGGGGTAAGAGGCACGACGCACACAGGCTCCAGATCGGCAACGCAGGCGACAGTAGTGCCCCGCGGCGGTAAAATTTTATCTGGTGTGGTGTTCGTAGCAGCGAGGACAGCTGATCCATCGTTGAAGCGAGCCACACCTGATGCGAGAGCTATGCCTTTATTAAGGCAACGGGGCGATGGAGTGACCAAAATGTCACCAGAGTCGACGTCGTTGGACAAAACTGTGACTAATTGATGTTCGTTCGGGGGTAACTCGATGTCTACAGCAGCGATGAGTCGAAGTGGCCTGTAGGTTTCGACACTAAGCAAGTGGTCTGTGTCAGTAAGATGGACGACACGTTGTGCACAACAAATAGCCGCGGAAGCAGACGAAAGAAAGTCCCAGCCTAAAATGAGTTCGTGGGAGCACGGGGATAGCACAGCGAATTGTATGTGATGAAGAATGTCGTCGATTAGCACACGGGCAGTACAGAGAGCGGAAGGGCGAATCATCGTTCCCTGGGCTGTAACCAGTGTTGGTCCATCATAAGGCGTCGTGACTTTTCGAACGCGGGTACACAAATCAGCACGAATAATAGAAAACCCAGCCCCAGTGTCCACCAAAGCATCAACGTCCACTCCCTCAACTGAGACTGCAATCATATTGTAAGGGCGCGCTGAAGGAATTGGAGTACTGTGTAGGAATGCAGTTTGTCCTCCAAAAACTGCATTGCTTAGTTTTCCGGACGCCGATCAGAAGCGAGGGAAGCAGGCTGAAGAGGAGAAGAGGAGCGACGGTAGGGCGATGGTTAACGGCGTCTGGTTGATCGAAGACTACTGCGCAGTTCACCGGATGCTGGCGGAGATGGAGACCGACGCGGCGGTGACGAATAATGACGGCCTTGGTACAAGGCTCCTGCGATATAGTCTCGTTCGCGTATGTCGTACCCTCGGCGCTCATCTTGCTGGC